GAGAGGTCCTCCAGAGCACAGGGCTGATTGGGGTGAAGGAGAGAGCAGGCCAACCCTCCAGCTGGTTGGGCTTGAACAAAAGCTCCCTGGGACCCCACCCTGCCTCCTGGGCTTAACCCTGTCGCTGCAAGTCTTGCTTGTGTTCTTGCAAAGAACTCAGATTTCTGGGAACCAAGCAAAGCTGGCCTGGGCCTGAGTCTACAGGTTCCCAGGCTTGCGTGTGCTTCAACTCATCTACAGGGTCAGCTTCTCAGAGGCCACCAGGTTTATGACAAAATGCAGCTACTGTTCATTTTGGAGGAAGGAAGATGGAACAGAACCACAAGCTGGACAGGAAGAACTCAGGAGTCTGCATGTCTGTTTTCCATTCCTCAAATCCAGTTTCCTTCTGGCTCTCCTAACCTTGCCCTGACCCAAGTTTACAGCACTGTGGGGTGTGTGTGTGGGGTGTGTGTGTGTGTGTGTAGGGTGTGTGTGTGTGGGGGGGGTGCTGTACTTTCAGGTGAGCAAGGGCAAGGGGAGAGGCTCCAGGATCTGCTTGTCTTTGAAAACGACACAGGGGTTCAAGTCAAGCCCAGGGAACATACATCCCCTTGTTGGAGTTGTAAGTACCAGCAAGAGAGGCCAGAGTCGAGCACAGAGATGCCAGAGGGCAGCTAACCCTTCCTGTCCCTGCAGCAACCGCCCATTAAGGCAGTTCTTGGCAAGGTCAGCCAGCCCAGGGACAGACAGCTGCTGTCTATAGTCGCAGCAGCAAAAGCAGCAAAACTTGTTCACCAGGTCTCCCAACACACCTGGCACACCACAGGGTTTACAGGAGATGCACACAGGGCACTCGCACACAAACACACGGCAGGCCACGCCCTCTGCCCAAGCTGGGCAGACACACACCTCCACAGAGTTGCAGCTGGCTGGAGCCCATCCCCGGCATCACCCACAGTCAAAAGCACACCCCACCTCCATAAAATCGCTTCTTCGCAAACACTGATCCTCCGTAAACAAGCTTTTCCCAAGTCTCTGCAGCCCGGGACCTCCACAGAAAGTCACAAGGAATGGATGCACCTGCAGGAGGTGACCGACCGATGTACAGTCAGTCCCCAGTGAGCCTCAAGCTGTCATCTTTGGAAGGCATCCACTATCAGGCTGGGAGGAGGCATACGGGAAAAGGGAAAAAGGAAGTAGGCTCCCAGTGCCAAGTTGGTCTTTTTATCCTCAGTTTTCATTCCACAGTGGGAGACATTTAACTTCCTCAAATTTAACCAACTAGAGAGACACTCCCATCCTACCATCAGATTCTGGTTCCCTATACCTTCCAAATCTCTAAGCGGGGAAAACCTCACTAATACAGCATCTGGGCTGGGCTGCAGCTCAGTAGGAAGCACATGCTTAACACGTGACAGGGTATCATGATAGTTAGTGTATCAGAAAAAAGTGCAAGTATATATATATATTTACACATGTGTACACACATACATATATACATACACACATATATATTTACACATTCATGCATAGTAAATGCATTTGCACACAGCAATAGACATGGGAGAAAAAGCAAAAATGATTTGATAACTGTAGTTAAATAGAAACAAGAAACATAACGGCAGGTTTAACAAGACCAAAACATCAGCCACTTCCATAAAACTGAATGGGTCACAACTCAACTCCAGGAGTGGATATAATACAACTAGGCCAAATCTGGCCACATTCAGATAACACCATAGCTGAAACCAAATACCCCCGGAAACCCCAGTGCTGGGTTGGAGGGCTGAGCTGGTAGACTGGAGGAGAAAACTGAGTCAAGTTATGCAATGTTTTTCTGCCTGCAGCCAGAAGGCCAGTCTCACGGGGGAGGGGGTGGTGAGCACAGGACACACATCTCTGTCAGAATCACATCCTTGGGCCAAAAGGAAGCATTGGGAGGCCAGCCTTAATGTTATTATACTCGCCTCTGTGTAAACATTGTCATCTCCCACCTGGGAGACAGACAGGGTGCCTACCTCTTGCTAGGAGGTACCAAGCCCCAAGCATCTTCTCACCTAGATGTTTATTCCACTCTGGGAAAGGCTAGTTCAAACCGGGCACAGATAGCCATCAAGGAGATTGGCACTATATATGAATATTTTGAGATGAGACACTATGCTAGAGTTGAACTCCTGGGCTGGGAGAATGAATCTCCCTGCCTCAATTTTTTTTTTGGGGGGGGGGTTTGAGACAGGGTTTCTTTGTGAAAATCTGCTGGCCTTGAACTCACTGAGATCTACCTGCCTTTGCCTCCGGAGTGCTGGGACTAAAGATGTGTACCACCACTGAATTTCTTGAACAGCCTAGACTACAGTGCTAGGCACTGAGCCAGGCACTTTAAAGTGTTAAATCTTATACTCCAATCTTATAATACTCCTTAACCATGCTACCACCGAGTTAGACTCCAGCCCCCCACAAAACGTCTTGTTTTCCAAGCATATTTTTGTATGTGCTAATAGCATGGTAAGTGACTTTGACCCTGGTAGGACAAATGGCCTTCTTGGGAACCTGCCCCTGCCTCCAGCCTGGCTCTCTCCTCCTCCCCCCACAGAGTGGAAGCCTGAGCAGTTGCTTCTTTTGTTAAAGTACTTGGTGGTTAGCTTTCCCAGGCAGGAGCCTCACTAACTTATAATTACCAACAATGCCCTGTGATTGGTTCTCTCATTACCCAAGGTAATACTTCTGAAGTCTAAATGCTTGTGGTCTTAATGATACAAGGATATTAAGAGATCAGGGGGCTATCACTGGTCAAATGCGGTGCAGGGGGGAGGGCAGTTTCAAAAATGGGGGCAGGAGAGCAGATGGCCACAACAGAGGAGAGAGGAAGAGAGATGAAGTACAATTCATTTGTTCGGTTTTTCACTTAGTGGCAAAAAACATGCCATGCTGAGACACACAACTGTGCCCACAATCCAGCTAGACAGCCAGCCAGGCAAGGGGACAACAGTGGAGCCACGCTGTGCCCTTGTCTCTCCCCTGGGGAGGGAGGAGGTGGGAAGACCAGGAGAAGTGTTTATTTGAGGGCTGGAAGAGCGCTGTGACCCCTGCAGTTTAGGGCAGGAAATCTCCCAGACAGGAGTGTATTTAGTGTGGGACAGGCAGAAGCTCAGCACTGCAGCCTCAAAGGCTGGGAAGAAGCTGTCTCCTTCATGCTTGATCACCTCCAGCTGACCTGAACTCTGGCCTCAGTTTCCCCATTGCACTTGAGAAGCAAAAAGGCAAAGACTTTGAGCTCTGTGGATGAAAGGCTGCCCCATCCCAGACCACCACTCCCTGTAAAATTGGGCGGATGACGCCTCTGCTCATTTTGGCTGGTGAGTAGCCCCATCTCATCTTTGAAGATGAAACACGCTCAGACCTAATGAGGAGTCAGTTGGCTGAGGTGGAGTGGGACCTAGTCACCTGCCCGGCCTGGCCCCTCCCAGCCACCACAACACCCAGCCCAGGGCACAGAGCTGGAACCATTTCACGGTTCTATTATGGCACTCCACTAGTCCCCCTCTGTCCTGTCCCCTGGTCCTGACTGCCTCTGCCTTTAGCCACTTCACCAGCAGAGGTCAAGGTGAAGGGGAGCCCTGAGGCTCTGCAGTGCTCTTGGCTGCTGCACAGGGGCTCTAAAGGTCACAGCAGCCCCACCGGCCCCTACGGTTGTCCCAGCCAGTGTGCCCTTTGCTTTGGGGCAGTAAGCACCCCTGGATGCGCCGCTCTGCTCTCCTCAAGCTTTAAGGCAAAATGGACGATTGATTTCTAACAGGCAGACAACGAGGGAGGAGTAGCTGTGCTTGGAGCCTTCAAAATAAAGGATTCCTCAGCCTGTTAATCCTCCCATCCTGACTGCTACACAGACACCTTCTGCCCTACTACCAGCAGGTCAGCAATGTGGGGAGCCCAGTGGGAGCCTGGGGCTCGGTAGAAGCCACACCCCTGCTGGGTGAGGCTGCAGCCTGGCCTGAAGGTTCCTGGAGGCCATATAGTCTCTGTGCAGACAGCCAGACAGGCAGACAGCAGCCGCTTCTTTCTCATACCCTCCCCCCTTTTGTCACCCCAAGGTCTCTAGTATCCAGCTATGACAACCTACCTACCCAGGGTCTCCTAACCTGTCTGTGTCATCCACTCCTGTTTCCTGAGAAATACCTGGCACAGGACAAGGGATGTGTGTATGGCCTCCACCTTCCTAGGAGACTGTAGCCTTGTAAAAACACTAAGACAAATCCCAAGGCAGGCGAAGGCAACCTTCCCTGCACGTTCCGAAGGGGAGTGTGTACCTGTGCACGTGGGGGATTATCCTATCTTCTTAATGGTTCATTTGTGTTCATTAAGTAATTAATTCACTTATCTGATTCTCAGAGTGATGCCCAAAGGTTGGACTTCTAGATTGTTAATATCCAACCTCAGGAACCAGAGTTTTGAATCCCTGCCTTCCTGAATTAGAAGATCCCTATCTCCATCTTTATCCTGAGTCTCCAGGGATAGAAGAGCCCAGGAAGATGCACTTGGAAGCCCCCACAGCCACCTTGGTCCCTGCTCTGACACTAACCCCGGGGATGCACGGGCCTCTGCTAATTCCTAACCCACAACCTCCCAACCCAGGGCACTTCACTGCCTTTTGGGAGAGCTGGTCAGGGCTTAGAAGAACTTCTTTGGAAGAACTGAAGAAAGGTCAAGGGCTAAGCCTTGGTCAAAATTAGTGAGCATAAACAGGGAAACTAGGCATAGCTCTGGGCCCACAGCGTCACCTGCACCTACAGGCACAGGTGGGCAAGGGGACTAACTAAAGGCTTGGGAGAGATATTGAGCGCCTCCTCCCCACATAGAAGGTAGCTCGCTGGCCTCTGTCCTGGAGTGGCTTCTGGTTCTCGAAGGACTAGTGACCACAGGCCCCACAGGCTGTGCAATGGGGACAGCCCCGCCTTCCCCGTTAAATGAAGTAGCAGGGTCCTTCTTGGTAAAGGCAGGCAGGGGGTTGAGGTGCTCACCTTGTAGTCGAGCTCAGCGCTGGCCCTTGGCTGTTTCCCCTGAGAGGGTGGCAAGGTCTCCGCACCCAGATACTGCCTGAGGGATGATGGTCTCATGAGGCTGAGGAGATGGCCAAGTACCGCTAGCTGGGGAGGAGAGAGGAGACTGTGACTGAGTGTGTGTACAGCTCTGGGAGATGCCCTCAACTGTGGCAGAGGGTCATAGTCAAGCTTCCAGGACCTGAATCTGACTCTCACTTAGGAGCTGTGTGTGTGACCTCCCTAAAATGGTCCACACTCCTTCTTCCTAGGAGGAGGGATGTGTATATGAACATGTGTGTATGCACATGGGCACATGTATACATATATACACACACATACATATACACATACATACACAAGCATGCACACATACACACACATGCACACACATGCACACACACAGGGTGTACCTAGCACAGGGTGAGCCCTCCCTTAACTTGATGAAGTAGGAAGCTCTCCTGAGACTTTAAGGTTTACCCTAATTCCCTATAAAATCAAGAGTAAGAAAGAGATTCCCTCTGACATTGAGCAGGACCTCGGTGACCTGAGCGAAACCTCAGCCACTGAGCTGGTCCTCAGCCACTGAGCTGGTCCCTTGCCACCTGCACAGGTCCCTGACCACCTGAGCAGCCCCTCGGCCAATAGCATATTCTCTCCTGTATTCCTTTTTTGTCACTTAGCTTGTTGCTGCAACATATTCAATTCACGGGAAAAGGACTGAAACTCTTCAATCCATAGCTTTGCCTGTCCATTTTGTGAGCTACAACCACAACCGCTCTGCCTGCCTGTCCCTAACTCCTCTGCATCTGTACCACACTCTTCCCTCCCAGGAATGCCAAATACTGAGTCTTCTAAGCCATAAAGAAGACACACACACACACACACACACACACGAATGTCCCCCACGATATAACACTATCAAGAATACCAACAGCTCTGTTTGTCTGAAACAAGGTCGCCCCTTGTGTCCCAAGTTGGCCTAAACCTTGTGACCCTCTCAGCTCTGCCTAAGTAACTGGGTTTACAAGCATGGACCACTGGGCCAGGCAATTCTTTTAATTTTTTTATTACATGTTATTTGTGTGAGCACACGCATGCGTGCAAACAAGCCACAGCAAACACTCTGATGGTAGAGGATAGTTTGCAGGGGTCGGTTCTCTCTGGGGACTGAATTCGGGCCATCCAGCTTGGTGGCAAGCGCCTCTAGAGCAATGGGCCATTTCCCTAGCACATTCTGTTTTCTTCCTAGATGGGGCCCTTCCTCTGCAGACTGGGCTGGCCTCAAACTCGCAGCCAATCCCTACCTTTGCCTCCTGAGGACTGGGATGTGTGTCTTGCCCAGTCCTCTTTTTTCTTTTCCTAAATGTTGGGAGCAGTAAACCCCCAGATCCTGAAATTCTTGTAAACAACTTGTTTTCCTCTGCTCTGAGCACCCTCAGGAGTTCCTGATGGCAGGGGAGTGGTTTCTGGTGGGTTTGGCTGGGGCGTGGCTATCAGTTAAGGATCTCTATATATGTGGCCCCTGGACACAATAAAGGGGGCATTCTTGGGATCAAGGATGACCTGTGTATCTCTTCTGTATTTGTGAGTCTTTGTGTGTTTCAGTCTCCAGCCCCTTGCCCAGTTCACGAACTGTATAGTAGCACATGGAGCGCAGACGGCCGTGATGCACTACACCTAAAAAGTCATACTATTTTTTTGTCTAACAAAATAGCCAATAATTCACTTTCAGCCAATATCTATATTCAGTTTTCTCCGTCAGAAACTTCCTTTCAGTGGGTCCTTTAGATGGGGATTTCCCTGCAAGGTCTACAGAGGGATCTGGCTGATCTGTTAATCTACCAGGCACCCCGCCCACCCCCTGTTTAGCTTTGAAGAATTGCCCAACTCCTCTGAACAAAACAGGCTTTGAAGCTAGCCCCTCCCCCTGGTCACCCCAAACATAGGGTCCCTGCAAGGACTGCCCAGATGATGTAGTATGGCTGGGTTGAGGCAGGTAGGCCCCAGTCCTCGTCCCTCCAAGCCATCCATGTGCAACCCTAGGGATGGGGGAGGATGTGGCAGAATGGGCAGCGTCAGGGTAGTTCAAGAGGACCGGCTCCTTAGATCTAGCAGGTGCAGTGTGGCCACAGACAAGAGGGTTGAGCCCCGAGCCCAGCTCCCAGCTTGAGCCCAGCCGGGTGGCACGCCACACCTGGCTTCCTCCTGTGACTCACCCCCCAGCACCTGCTCAGCACTTCAGCTGCCCTCAACCTCAGAAGCCCTGGAGAGCAGCTGAGCAGGGAGAGGAGGATGAAGAGCTGGTTGGTAGTCAGGTTGGCTTTGGCTCCTGGAAGGAGGCCAGGCCTTCTCTGCAGTGTGGAAAGACGGCAGCAAAAGCGGGGAGGAAGGATCTGGGCAGGGATAGGTTCCATCTGGGGCTGCATCGAGAGCCAGTACTGCCTTGTGCCAGCCTTCGGGATAATTTTCAAAACAGCCCTGCCCTTTCGCACGCTGGAGGCTCGCTGCTCACAGCTGTGCAAGCACTGGGCTGCCCCGCATTGCCTCGAAGACCACGCCCCCAGAGTGACTAAAGGCCCGCCCCAGCAGAGCCAGGACTCTCCCTGCTCTAAGAGCAGGGGGCAGGGCTGGTAGGGAAAGCACAGACCAGGCTCACTTGCTCGCTCTTATTTTTCTTCTCGCTCCAGGAAAGCAGGCTGGCGGTGCCTCAGTGCAATCTAGCATTCTGGTCTCAGAGTTTCTTTTGTTTCTCGCATCGCCCCACCCCCACATACCACCCTCTCTCCTGGATGAAGGCTTCTCTGGTCCGCAAAAGTCCTGGAGAGGGAGGGTTAGGACCACACCAGCACCCTTGCCACCCCCACCCCCTACTTCCACTGCAGAGTGCCAACTCAGCAAACATTCAGCCCATTAGGGCAGACACCTCAGGGCAAGAAGTGATGATCACCCAGAAGGACAGGCCTCCACTGGCCTTGCCAGTCTCCTGGCAGGAGGAGATCCTGGCAAAGCAACTGTCTACACAGCATGTGTCTCCTGCTCTCAGATCCTGGCAGTGCCTCCAGTTTGCACAGGAGAGGTGGCTGTAAGGTGCAAGGAGGTCCCAGATGACCTGCTGCTGCTGCTCTCTGGAGCCTGGTCCTTCCTGAGGTGTCTGAACAGAGGCATTGCAGAACTGGTCCCTCCTTGTGGAGTCCACTATCACATGTAACCCAAAGCCTACAGTATTGGTGTTTACCACCCTTGCCAGTCCCCTACCCGGCACACCTTTTCCCTATGGCATCATCTACCCTCTTGCAGGCACAGAACTTGCTTGCTTAGTGTCCTGACTTATTGTCAGCCCCCTCCCTGGCTGTGAGGTCAGCACTGTCTCCTGCAGTGCACAGGGCTAAGCACCATGCCTGGCACATGGCTGATGCTTATTAAGCAGTCATTAGGCAAGCAAATGGCTAAATAGCATTAGGACTTCAGTTAACCATTTCCTAGGAGAGTCAAACTTTTTTTTTTTTTTTTTGGTTTTTCGAAACAGGGTTTCTCTGTGGCTTTGGAGCCTGTCCTGGAACTAGCTCTGTAGACCAGGCTGGTCTCGAACTCACAGAGATCCGTCTGCCTCTGCCTCCCGAGTGCTGGGAATAAAGGCGTGCGCCACCATCGCCTGGCCTGATTCAAACTTTTGTATCCCCCCTTAATTTTGGGCAATCAAAATCCTTGCTTTCCAAATTTCAAGACATGATTTGAGGCTGAAGGTGGTGGTACTTGTCTTTAATTCCAGCACTTGGGAGGCAGAGGCAGGTGGATCTCTGAGTTCAAGGCCAGCCTGGTTTATAGAGTGAGTTCCAGGACAGGCAGGACTACACAGAGAGGTCCTGTCTCAAAAAACAAAACTAAACAACAAAAAAGTTGCCAGACACGATGGCACATTCCTGTAAACTTTGGACTTGGGAAGCAGGGGCAGGAGCAAATCTCCAAACAATGGTTGATAAGATGGCTCAGAGGGTCAGGTGCTTGCTGTCAAGCCTTTGCTCCCTGGGTCCGACACCGTGGAAGGAGAGGACAGGAGAATGGACTCCTGCAGCTGTCCTCTGACCTCTATGTGGGCACTGCGGTGTGTGCACACACACAATAGTAAATACATATTTACAAAAAGGTTTGCCTTGTTTCTGTGTTGCAAGAGGCTGGTATAAGAAACAAACTCTGAGTTTCCTCCCAAACCTGTTCCACCTGTGTCTTGCCTGGCTGCTGAGAGGGTGTCTTCTTCCCTCCAAGTCTGGTTCCTGGAGGGCTCCCACCAGCTCTCTGGAGCCCCGCCGGCTGTCCTTGGGAAGTCACCTAGCAGCAGCCACGCTCCAACGCTCCATCTCTGCTACTCTCAGGCCAACTGCCCTGCACCCTCCTCGCCCCTCGCTTCATCCTCCAGCACTTGGTTCTCAAGGGCTAGCTGGCTTTAACATGTTTACAGTTCAGTTTCTGTCTCTCCTCTAGGCCTGGAAGCCCTCTGCTCCAGCCACACCAGTCTCTGCCCCTGGGCCTTTGTGCTTCCTACTTCCTCAGCCGGAAGTGACCCCCTCCCCCACCAAAGGTAGGTTTTCCTACAGTTCCGTGTGCAAATGTCCCTTCCTCTCCTTGCACCCACCCAATGCTGTTTTTCCCCATAGCACTTGCATTCTCTGCAAGTCTGCCCCAAATGGCACTTCTTTCTCCGTGCCTCTGTTGGCCTGCTCAGACCAGGACTAGCACAGGAGAGGGCTTCATTCAGTTCAGCTCTTTTCCTGCCCAGACCAGACTCTAGAGCACACTGGGGCCTGAGGCTAAACAGCGACTGTTTCTGAAGTATTCCCAGTATTCAATGAAACAACAGGAATGACTGGTCCAACCCCGGGACTCTCCGGGAAAATGCAAGTGCTGGGCTGTGGCATTCTACCGACCTATTGTCTCTCCAGCCTAGCTCTCCAACTCCTGCTCCTGAGGCTCAGGCTGTGGCTTGAGACCGGGACAGAGGTGGGGGGGTGGTGGCAGGTTGGGTACTGAGAACCCCTCCCAGCCACTTCAGACCCCAGGACTCTGCTTCTCTAAGAGTAAACCCCGGAAGTCCCTTCACAGTGGTATAGGCTGTGAAGAGCCCGGGAAGGGGCTGGAGGGGTTGAGGTGATGCAACATGCTGCAGTGGTCAATGGCACAATTCTAATCCTGGCTCCTCTCCCCTTCCCTGCTGTGTAGCTTCCCTGACTCAGTTTCTCCATCTACAAAACATGGATAGAGTAGCAGCTCTTCCAGCCCTTGGTTTTGAGGGAGGGAAGCGCTGTGAACAGTTCTCAGAACACAGTGAGTGCTGCCTGCATGGAAGCCGCCAACTATTACAGGTGAAGGGGCGACCAGTGCACAACAAGAACTGTGTGCATTCAGTGCAAGGGAGGTATGGGCAGGGATGGCTGTGGGGAGGGGACGTGGCTGGGGATCAAAGTGGTCCTTCGAAGGAAGATGGCTCTGACAGGCCAGCCAGGGAAGGAGCATGCCTGGTGATCAGACATCAGGAAGAGACTAACAGCGGAGTCTAAACACAGCTGCTGGGTCTTCCTCCCTGCAGAGGCACCGCTGACTCTCTCCCTCCTCCCGGCGGTACACTCAGCATGCAGGGACTCATCCCCTGAGACCTGGCTCAGGTACCTTCTCAGAAGTCTATCCTCAGGCAGTGTTAGTCACCCAGGTCACAGCGAGCTGGCTCACCCCGCTTCAGGAGTCATCTGGAAGTGTCACACCTGGTGTCTGAGCCTGAGCCTGGGATCTGAGTTGCCTAGTCAGTGTATAAGGAACCAACGGGTCCAGAATTGGGTCCCCGGTTGGTCACAAGCAGGTAGGTGTAGGGGCCTCGAGCAGAGAAGCAGAGTCTGGCTCCACTTGCCTGACCGGCCTTGTGACCCTGGATTCTTGGTTGTTGCAGAGACCTCCTGAGCTGGCTCCCTAACTGACCAAGCAGCACACAAAGTTTGCCTCCCTCCTTGAGGCTCCTCTCCAGGCCCCGGCAGCCCTGCTGGGCTTCCCCTCATACTCCCTGCAGACAAACCACTAAGCGTTGAAATGCTCTCACCTTTGGGTCCCTGCTAACCCAGCTTCTGGGCGAGAGGTCCCAGGGAACTACCCTCCCTGGAGTCCTGATTTTCTTTCCTTCTTCTCTGTCAGTTCTCTATGGGGGCTTAGTGAGCTCATCTGGCCAAAGCCAATGCCTTCACAGCAGGCTTCCATAGCAGCCCTTGGGCAACCTGTCTGGTTGAATTTCAGCTGGCCCTGCTCCTGACTTCCTAACCTGTCTTCCCTTCTTCAGTGACCTCCCTGGTGGTGGCTTGCAGAGCACTCTGTCTTTGGTGACCCTGGCTGTCTCTTTATCCCATAAATTACATTGCCTTCCTGGTGTGGGCCAGGCCCTGGGCTAAGGGGCAAGGGAGAGCAAGTAGACACCACTGGTTCCCAACTCAGAGGCCCCAAATTCCGCCTGGGAACAGGGGTGTGGGGAAGACGATGCAGCAGACACCAAACAAGTAAGGGAGGGTGACAGGACCAGGAGGCCTCCTTGAGATGGCACCTCAGCCAGAGTAGGAATGGCAAGCTCCCGCCATGCTAGGGTGTATTCCAGGCTAAGGGGAAGTGTGGAGCTGAAGCCAGAATCAGGAGCCAGCCCCCTCCTTCCAACCAAACCAACTGACACTTTTCTTAGCTCCCTCACAAAGGCTTGCATTTGACTCTAGCTAGCTGGGGATGTGCTGGGCCTGGACGTGCCTTTGCCTGTGTACCTGGCCTCTTAAGTGTTGCTGAACCAGGCATTTGGGGGGGGGGGTGATGACGACACTACCCTGAAACTGCAAGAATGAATCCAGGGAGATCCCTAGTGGAAGCAAGAGGCTTTCAACTTCCCCATCCTATTCTTGGAGCCTCAAGAAGGCCATGGCCTCTGAGCTGAGAGGCAGGATCAGAGCTCCACAGAGAGAAGAGTCCGGGAAGAAGCCTGAACTCGTCCCTGCTGCCCCAGGGATGCCTAGCCCTGGAGTGGGGGACTCTGGTAGGAGCTTAAAAACTTAAAAGCGTTTCTTTCCATCTTTATTGTTCTTCTTTCATGGAACCAGGGTTTGGGAAGGGAAGAGTGGGAGGTTCCTAGGTGCTGGGAAGTGAGCTCTGGTCCTCTGTCCTGCAGAGCACGCTCTAGCTGCTGAGTCATCATTCTAGCCCTGTCAGTGTTCTTCAAAGATGTGGCCCCTGGAAGGGAGACCATGCCCCAGTGGACGGTCCCACATCAATGTTTATAAGGGCTATAAATGAAGTTAGGAGGGTAAGAATGGTCTAGGAAGTTTTAGGGCAAAAAGGAGGGGATCTGTTGCCTGTATGTATGGAATTCTCAAAGAATAAAAATATATTAAAACCAAACAAACAAAAAAAAATTTCAGACCAAAGCTGGGATGGTAGCACGTTTGTAATTCCAGCACTCTGAAGCTGAGGCAGGAGGATCTGGGAGACTAACAAAACAAAATGTTACAAAAGAAGCAGAAATAATAAATTTTATGATATCTATATTTTACCAAAATTCATAAACTGTAATGCAGGCTCCGTGTTCACAGATCTGGTCAATTCCTAGAGCCTAGGACAAGGCAGTTAGGCAAACTATTGTTTTTCAGAGTGGCAGAGTTAAAGTGTTGTGATTAAAGGAGTGAGCCGCCACACCAGCCTCACCCAGGCTGGTCTCTACTTCCCAGGCTCAAGGAATCTTCCTGTCTCAGCCTCCCCTGTAGCTGGAAACACAGCCTCACCAGCTGTTTTCTTGCCACGCTGATAACAGCCCCGGGCCTCACACAAGCTAGGCAAGGCTCTACCACACACTATCCCCCTAGCCCCAGGAAGCTGAGGTGTGGGGATGGTCTCTCTGATGACAGCTCAGGTTATGGGGAAGAGGGGTCATGGCCCACCAGAGGCCTTCCTGGTCCTGCTGAGGCAGACTCACCTGGGTTTTCTCTCCCCAGAGAGGAAGTGCCTCTTGCTGACCCAGCATCCGGGCAATAACCGTGAGGCTCAGTTGGCTTCGAAGTAGCCTGGGAGAGAAGAGCAAGAATCTCAGTGGGGTAGGCTGGAGGTCAGGGGGCCTCTGAACATTCTGGAAAGACAAGATGTCCAACAAGCAAGGATAATACGTTTTTCTTCGGAGCTGTAACCCCCTCAGATCTGTATGTATCTGTAGATCTTAATGGGTGAAAGGTCTTCTCCAAAGCGACCAACATTCCTTCCTTTGCGTAATAAACGCACACAGACTGCGACAACACCAGGTGTGTCTCGGTGACAGTGCATAGCGTGCCGGAGACCCTGGGGACTGGACCATAAACAAAGTAATAACTGAAGAAGAAAAATGCAATGACGGAAGGCATAAAACAACTAAGGAGGAAAATACGCAGATAGAGGGGAAAAGGCAACAGGAAGAAAAACACATTCCCTTCTCTGTTCCCTTTGTCCTGCCCAGTGCACTGCCTCTCAAATTTCAAAGGACTTCAAGCAGGGTGGCTGATTGGCCCCTTGAGACCAGGCTTTATTGTCTTTTTTTTTCTTTCTTTCTTTTCATCCACTTTTCAGAAAACTTTTCTTTGGGATTCCCCTCCTACCATCCTGAGGAGCCAGGCTCCTGGGATGCACCTGAGGGCCACTGGTCACTGAAGCAGCCTCTGGGTCTTGGCTGGACAGTTAAGAGAGTATAACTTCTGGGGCTGGAGAGATGGCTCAGAGGTTAAGAGCATTGCCTGCTCTTCCAAAGGTCCTGAGTTCAATTCCCAGCAAGCACATGGTGGCTCACAACCATCTGTAATGGGGTCTGGTGCCCTCTTCTGGCCTGCAAGCATACAGACAGAATATTGTATACATAATAAATATATTTAAAAAAAGAGAATATAACTTCTTGTGGGGCAGCTAATGTGACAGGCGTCACCTCTTATAGTGCTTACTGTCCTCCTGTCTCCCAGCTGGACAGCCTTCATGGAGGCCAGCAAAGAGAACAAGGGACAAAGAGCCCTGGGAATGCCCAGTTTCTAGCCCATTTGCTCCCTGAGCTGCTCGTGAGCCTGCACGGGTCTCCTGCTTCAGTCAGCCGAGCCGGGTGTCTGAGGCCAGCCGTAAGGCAATGCTTAGTCAGTGCTGACTCAGGACTGAGACATCTTCTAGTCAGGAATGAAGGCCCCGGTGGGCTTCAGATGTTAATGCTTGGGTCCTCAAGCACCTCGGAGAGTAAAGAAGGGAGGAAGAAACCAGAGGGTGGGGCTGAGAGTTGTCCTGGGACCTTTGAGACTAGGTGACAGGACAAACTTCTCCTCAGGTCAAACTCTCAAGCCACAGCTCTGTAATTAATCACCTGAGCCTTGCTGGGGAGATTGCAACATGTCGTTCCAGGTCTCTGCACACACTGGTCTGCAGGCAGCAGGCAGCCCCTTGAAAGGATTTATTTGTTTATTCTGACGAGGACAGAACCCAGAGCCTTACGCCAGGTGCCATGCCACAGAGTTTCATTCTCTTTTGTTTGTTGTGTTTTATTTTGTCTTGGTTTGTTTGAAGACAGGGTTTCTCTGTGGAGCCCTGGTTATTTTGGAACTAGCTCTGTCGACCAGACTGAAACTTAACTCACAGAAATCCGCCTGCCTCTGCTTCTCCAGTGCTGGGATTAAGGTTGTGCGCCTCCGTGGCCCGGCCAGAGTGCCATTCTTCTGGAGGGACTTGTCACTGCACTGTGCTAAGTAAACCCACTCAGAATGGAACCCAGCTGGCCCGCGAGGGTTACCGCCTTGAATCATGCCAGGGAGTAAAATGAAGAGAAGGGAAGCAGAGAAAGGCCTAGAGAGAAGCATGACGAGAACATGTGTCTGGGGTCGGACTCTTAGAGGAGAAGAGCTCACAGGTCATGGGACCCCTGTCGGTGCCCTCAGTCACATCTCTGGAAAGACATGAGGACCAGAAAGACCAGATGCAGGCCACAGCGGGCGCTAGGAATTGTCTCCTTAAGGAGGACTTCTGGAGGCAGGACGAAGCCTGGTCACTTCAGTGGGTAGTGCTGGCTCCAGAGCACTGTTCCCAGGGCCACACTTGCCTTAGCGATGGGAGTGCTGAGGCAGCCTCCACCCAGCGGAGAAGATTGTGATCAGCCTGGGGGCCTGAGCTCTGCGTGCTTTGTTGATTTTTCTTAAGTAACAGTCAAAAAAATCGGAAGAATCAACAAAGCCCGGGGTTCTTGGTTTAAAAGAAGAGCAGCAGGTGGTGCCGACACCTTCTGAAGGGCTCCAGTGGAAAGCACAAACGGCCACTCACTCGGAGTTGGGAGACCACGAGGTGCACACTTGCACACGTAGCTCACAGGAAGGGTCATGACCCCTTTGGAAAACTAAAGATTAACTGAGGACAGACCTACACCTGCTCCCGTGTAGACAGGTACGAGAGAGGTACTCACAGCAGAAGCACCCCGATAAACAGACAGACCGGTAGCTACATAACCACCTCCACATGTTCTCTTCACTCGGCTGTGGGGAAGATGGCAGCTACAGAAGGAAGTCAGTGTGAGAATTCATTTGTGTCAAGTCTGAAATGGAGTGCTGGAGGTCAGGGTCCTGGTGGCCCCGGGGTTTGCTCAAGCTGTCCTTTCTCTCCCAATCTGGGTGGTAGTTTCACGTGTCTGACTTGGGAAAACTCCACTGAGACATAGGCTCGGTGGTCTATTTGTACGCTGTAGTTCAACAAAGCTATTATACTAAAAGGAGATTCGGCTGGAAGGGGACTTGGTTTGTCAGATTTAGCAAATTAAAGTCTAGGCTGCCCTGTTAAAGCACAAATTTCAGATGAAGAATCTGTTTTTCTTTCTGTTTTAAAAGAACGCTGTGCTATGTGTTGTATTCGTATTGCATCTGGCAAATGAAGGGGAAACCAGCCAGCCATTCCGCCATTTTTGACTGGGAAGACGACAGACTTCCGCCTGGTTTTAGCCTTGACCTCTTTCTGCAGGGCTATGCTGAGGTCCTGGGGCTCCCCAGGACTCCAAGAGCTAGAGTGAGCACAGACAGGCAGCTGCCATCTGAGCAGACACAGGATGGTGAGTCAGAAGCCCCTATCCCTGCTCTTCCACGCCCCCCCCCCCATGCTCTGTCTGAAGCCCAGCTTCCTCCTCATCAAGGCCTCGACCCTCTGTGGCTTGCCTGTAGCTAGGACCTGTTTTCCAGCTGTTCCTGGGCTCTAGGATCCGGCAGCAGCTGGGCCCAGACACAGTGGGAGGTAAATGGCTCCTCCAAGCTGCCGCTGCTGTGCTACAAAACCTACTGCCAGAGTCAGGAGTGCTGCATCTGGGCTTCATTAATCCCCCTCACACACCAAGGCCCACAGAGGGTGGGGAGGGGCCGGCCAGAGAGAGGGCCAGAGCTGACAGGCCTCACAGCAGTACTGGGGGGGGGGGTTCCAGAGGGAAGGGGTGGGTGAGTGTGTGGGGTGTGATGGGGGTCACACCAGGGCTGTAATCTAGAAAAAACAAAAAAACAAAAAGCCCCAACAACAACAAAACAAAAAACCAAAAACAAAGAGCAGGCAACATTGAGGGGTGAGTGGATGTAAGGAACCCACATCTAAGAGCTGAGACCCCATGCTGGCGCTGCCTGTCTGTTGCCCACAGCCTTTCTGACACTCCTTCCTGAATTCCCAGTCCCGCAGAGAAACAGGGACAGGGGCCACTTTAAATTTGACAGACTACAAGTTTGAAAGGGAAAAAGCAGAGAGGACCCACCCAAAATGCCACCCCAGCTGTGCAGGGGGCAAGCAGAGAACCTTGGCCAGACTGTTGGGCTCTTTTTCTCCACAGAAATTGCCTAACCCCACCTGGCAAAGCTTTTCCAGAACTCAAACCAGGCAAGCAAAGAAAGATGCAGAAGCCCCTGGAGTCCTCCCAGCAGATGTCATATAAGGCGATGGGCTCCAGCACAGTGCTCAGACCAGGCCAGGCCAGTGCTGGCCTCTGGTCCGCCCACCTCCCAGAGGCCTGTAAGAACAGGACACTGGATCAGCACACAGACACACCCAGGGCACTAGAAAATCGGGAACAAGGTTTTCTAAACCTAGCCCAGAGGATTTGGGTACTTTGCTTCCTGTCTGCCTCTGTCTGGGCAGCTCTCACAAGGGACTGGGCGCCCTGCAAGAGCACCCAGGAAGGCAGAGTGTATGCCACTGTGATGTTAGGACAAGGGACATGAGCCAGCACAGCACCCCTCCACCCCCCAGTGCTCTGTCTTCACTCCCTCGGAAGGGAACCAGGCCCTGCTGAGGCTGAACTGCCCTAAAAGGCTACCAGGCATCTGGCCAAAGGCGTGAGCTGCCTTTTCCAGTGCGTCCAGGGCAGCCCAGGCTGCAACAGTCTTGGCCTGCTCCTCTAAGGGAATGCTGCCTGACACCTGGCTGTGTGCTGCCTGGCATGGCCTACATCTCCAGGGCCACACACACCTGTCAGACCACTGGCTCTTTAGTCCATGATGGGAATCATCTTTTTCTGATTTTTTTTTTCAAGACAGGGTTTCTCTGCATAGCCCTGGTTGTCCTGGAACTCCCTCTGTAGACTAGGCTGGTCTTGAACTCAGAGATCTGCCTGCCTCTGCCTCCTGAGTGCTGGGACTAAAGGCGTGTGGCACCTTTAATCAAAATAACTAGGTGGGAGCTATCTTGCATGTGAGTGTGCTTCCAAAGCAGGAAGAACCAGGGTTTGAGTGCAGCTGGTTGCACAATCTTTCCCAATGCTCATACTCCCACCCTGCCTGAGTCCGCAAGCCAGCGACCATCACGCAGCCTGGTTTTCCATTAGTGTTTGTATAATCCCATGGGGCTGAGGAGGAGGCATGCATGATGCAGACTGGAGGAGAGGGATACGGTAACCACTGACCGAGGAAAAGGATGGCCACACAGCCAGATGAAGCTACAACCACTCACATCGCCAGGGAGCTGGTCCCCAAGATGCCTGTGAGCACAGCACGCCAGTCTCGCAGGAATGCACTGCATGGGCCCATCTCCAGCAGCGTTCAGAAACAGGCGAAGA